CGGGACCCCTGGGGTAGCAGAAAAAGACAATGGAAGAGGTGGGCAGGGGAGAGATCTGAAGAGTCTTGAATAGCCACTAAGATCCTGGCCTTCAGCCCGAGGCACCAAAGGCCACGTTCAGGTGTGTGATCCAGGATCTCTCAACCTTGGCGCTACTTACCCTGGAGCCAGAGAATTCTTGGTTATGGGGTTGCCCTGGGCACTGCAGGGTGTCTAAAAGCACCCCTGACTTCTACCCACTAGATGCCAGGGCACCCCCTTTGCCCTAAATTGTAACAAGCAGAAGGTCTCCAGATCTTGACATATGTCTCCTGGGGGGCAAATATCGCCCTGCTGAGACTACCTGGTGAATAAGAAAGGGCTGGAGGAGGCTAGAGGGGTAGAGGAAGGCCTGGGAATGCTACTACAGACTCCAGGCAAGAGCTGATAGTGGCCCTGCCCAGGCACGGTGCAGAGACTGAGTGACACTCTGGAGGCAGGGCCTACAGCACTTGGTGATTTGGCAGACGTGTCTGGGGAGGAGAGGAGCTGGGGAGGTAGTGGGTAGACCAGGCCCTCCTCCTCTCGAGCCCTCCCACACCCCTTCGAGTACTACTGTCTGCATTTCTTCTCTTCTTTTTGAGACAGTTTCACTTTGTCACCCAGATTGGAGTACAGTGGCATGACCTTGGCTCACTGTCATTTCTGCCTCCCGGGTTCAAGCGATTCTCCTGCCTCAGCCTCCCGAGTAGCTGAGATTACAGGCAGACACCACCACGCCCAGCAAATTTTTGTACTATTCGTAGAGACTGGGTTTTGCCATGTTGGCCAGGCTGGTCTCAAACTCCTAACCTCAAATGATCCGCCTGTCTCAACCTCCCAAAGTGCTGAGATTATAGGCGTGAGCCACTGCGCCCAGTCTCCTGTTTGCATTTGTTTGACATGTGGAAAACAGACACCAAAGGTCAAATGATCATATGCCACACACTTCCCAGGGACAGGGACCCAAGCTTCTAGACAAAGCCTCTGACCCCCTCTAGTGCTGGAAACCTGCCAGAGCTGCCTCCCCCTACAGCAGGTCCTGCCACCAATGAGTTCCTTTGTGGCCTCTAAATTCTATCAGGAAGCTCAGGCTTTTCTCTGAGCTCTCTTAATTCTTACAGCCACTGAGCTGAGGTTCAGAGAGGTTAGGGAATTGGCCTGAGGGCTGACAAAACTGGTTGGGGCACAGCCAGGATTTGAAACTTAGTCCCCAAGCCGAGGGCAGTGGCTCCTGCCTGTAATCCCAGCACTTTGGGAGGCTGAGGCAGGCAAATCACCTGAGATCAGGAGTTCAAGACCAGCCTGGCCAATATAGTGAAACCCCGTCTCTACTAAAAATACAAACATTAGCCAGGCATGATGGCAGGCGCCTGTAATCCCAGTTACTCAGGAGGCTAAAGCAAGAGAAATGCTTGAAAACTCAGGAGGCGGAGGTTGCAGTGAGCAGAGATCGTGCCATCACACTCCAGCCTAGGCGACAAGAACGAAACTCCATCTCAAAAAAAAAAAAAAAAAAGTTAGTCCCCAAATCCCCTGTTTTTTTTCTCCACTCCAACTCCAGGTGAGGCTTCCTAGCAGAGGCTGTGTCTGGGAGCCGGCCGAGCATAGACACAAGGGTCCCCTGCATGTGAAGGCCTAGAAGCTGGAAGAACTGCTTGATTTCAGAAACAGAAGATGGCCCATGAGTTAGATACAGTGGGGGCACTGCCAGTTCCCAAAACAAACCTGGACACGGAAAAGGGCTTGAACCTGGCTGGCCCCAGAGGGGCTGGGAGCTTGGCAAGTTCCACGTGGCCACAGGGTGGCCGGCCTCTTATGGGGGCCTACTCCAGACACATGGACACAGTCAGGGACCTGGATGGACTGAGGACAGGGGATGAAGCCCACCCGTTCCAGCAGCAGCAGTGGCGGCAACCTCAGTTCCCACCCATCAGAGGCCTGGAATGTTCCCCGCACTAACTCTCACCCCTGGAACCACCTGTCAGCAGGGAACACTGTTCACCACCCTTTTCAGAGCTGAGAACCAGAGACTCTTAAGAGGTCTAGAAAGTTCCCAGGATGCAAGTCTAGTGAATGGGCCCAGACTTGGCCACCTCTAGACGCTGGACAGGCAACAGCAGGCCCCACTTTCTTGGCTGACCCCATATGATGCAGAGGGAGGAGGGGCAGAAGCCACATCCAGTGTGCCGGCCCTCAGGTGATCCTGGAAAGCAAGGCTTGGAAGACGCATCCAGCCCCACCTGCAGAGGCCATCTGGAGTCAGGCCCTGGCACGGCACTGGGGATGAGAACGTGGCCAGAGCTTTGAATAAATGCAGCCAGCAAGGCTGGCCAGGGAGGCCCTACAATCATCACTGTCCCCAAACCCACAAGACGGGGGCCCAGGAGGGTGCTGGCAGGATGGTGAGTCAGGGCAGGGTCCCCCAAGGGCCTTGTACCAGCAAAGACAGGAGAGTCAGGAGTCTGACTCGCCTCCCCAGACTCACACCCAGAGGCCCCAGATCCTTCAAAAGCAACTCCCAACTAGAAACTGAGACCAATGGTGGGGTCACGGCGTACAGCACTACTGCTGGGCCAGCATATGCGGGTATTTTACATGCCATGACCTCATTACCTCTCACACACCCATTTTGCAGATGGGGAAGCCAAGGATGGAAAGGTCATCATTTGTTCAGGCGCATACAGCTCGTAAAAGGAAGCACCAGCACCCAAACTTTGGCTGAATTTACTCTAGAGCCAGTACAAAGAGGAGTAAATCTGGACTTAGTTTTTAAAATGAATGAGATGACTATGAAGATAAACAGGAAGTCCTGTCCCCAGGGAGGTCCCATCACATGAGATTCTGGCTTCTCTGAGTGATCTTGGGCTGTCCCCCTCCAGCCATGAGCCTCAGTCTCCCGTCTGCAAAAAGAGGGGCGGGACGTGGAATGGGTGCCATGTAGGCACAAGTCTGTGTCAAGAGCTGTCTCCATGCCCTTTGATCTCCAGTCAGTGGCTCTGGGCTTCAGTGCTGAGCCCAACAGCTTCAGTGATATGAGGGTCTTTTTTTGGGGGGAGGGGGACGTTGTTTTGCTGTTGTTACCCAGGCTGGAGTGCAATGGCACGATCTCGGCTCACGGCAACCTCCGCCTTCTGGGTTCAAGGAATTCTCCTGCCTCAGCCTCCTGAGTAGCTGGGATTACAGGCATGTGCCACCATGCCCAGCTTACTTCTTTGTATTTTTTATAGAGATGGGGTCTCGCCATGTTGCCCAGGTTGGTCTTGAGCTCCCAGACTCAAGCAATCCACCTGCCTTGGCTTCCCAAAGTGCTGGTATTACAGGAGTGGGCCACCATGCCCCGTCACCCCAGCCTTTTTCAATCCTGCTGTGAGGCTGCTGCACATGTCTGTGCATGTCACAGTCACTGGTTTACTTAACTAGCCTTCAGTGAACATCCACTGTGGGCAAGCCATGTGTGCTGGACACTGGCAGATACCACTTAATGCCTGCATCCCGGGAGTAGCTCGGGGTTGCAGAGAAAACCTTTAAACCAGCGGCACTGCACACTCTCCCTCTCTCCAAGCTCCACGGGGTCCACAGGCAAGGGTCATCTACTAAACACTTAGCAATGAACCGCACATCTGCCTGGCACCTTCGCGTTTACAAAACACGTTCCCATCTGTCATTTCCTCCGAGCCAGGCAGCATTATCACAAACTTTACAGATGGGGACACTGAGGCACAGATGAGTCGCATGACCTTCCCACAGCCACTCAAAGCCAGGTCTAGAATGCAGAGCTAGACGTGTAACACGTCACCCCCAGAGGCTCTCGCTCATGCAGAGAAGCACATAGGCTGCTTCTGCTAGTTTTCTAGAGCAGTCTTGGGAGGCCAACTTGACCATCTGTGCCTCAGTTTCCTGATGTGTGGAACAAATAATCTGGAACTATCTCTAGAGGCTGCAGAAAGTGCCCAGAGAACTCCCTGTCTCCTTCCCTGTCCCCATTGAGGGTTCCTTAGCAGCAGATCTCACACTCCAAGGGCCCCTAACCATAGGCTAACAGAAACCCCAAAGTTCAGAACTAATGGACACAACATACAGACTTGGTGTCCTCTGTACTGGACAGAGCTGATTTTCATTTTCCAAGGAAGGTAACCAAGGCACAGAGGTGCGTCTAGCCTGCTTCTGAGGGTGCAGGGACAGGAATGAGGACAGATCCGAGACGGGCTGGCCATCTCACTTCAGCAACTCCAAGCCTCCACTCCCTAATCCACAATCACCGACACGAAATACCTTCACTTCGGACCAACAATCACAAAGGAAGGGCCAGGACTCACGACTGTGCCCCTCCAAAGTGGCACTGAAAGGCACAAGCCTCATTTCTCCCAGGCCAAGGAGAGGACTGAGAGTTCAGTGATTTGTTTAAAATGCAACATCACAGCAAACTCATACTTTCAACAGGAAGCACATCCGGAGGGAAAGAGAGAGAGAGCTCTCTAATGAGGAGACCCCCCCCCCATCCTGCCCCCGAGGTTACAGGGGAGCCTGCATCATCCCAAAGCCTGCCTGGGCAGGGTTCCAGGAGGCCAGGCCACAGGGAGGGGGCCTGGCTGGGGGTCCAGCAGCAACCCAGGCCTCTTTTATCTATCAATATCCTTCTCCCCGGAGACAAGGGAGAGGATGCGAACCCCACCTGGGTTTCCCCACACCCGGCTGGGGACCCAGCTGACCAGGGACACTGAGGCACAGAGGAACTGCACAACTCCTACAGAAATTGGAGCTAAAAATACCCTCCTGTGCCCGGCCTGGCCTGTGAAAGGAGGAGCCCCCTGGCCTGCCTCTCGGCAACCTGCTGCTTCCTTCCCCATCTGGGATGGTCCTGGGCAAATCATGCCACTGGAGCCACATTCTGACTTGAGATCCCAAAATCCTAGCGTCTTTCCTCCTCTTGGTCCCCTGGGCTGGCCCCAGGGGCTCCAGCTGGCGCGAGGAACACTTACCCAGGTAGATATCTCCAAAGGACCCGCTGCCGATCTTCCGTCCCAGGCGGTACTTGTTCCCCACGCGAAGCTCCATGGCTTACTCTTGCTGCGGAGGAAGCAGGAACACGAGGGTCAGGGATGTGGAGAGCCAGGCAAGGGGTCCAGCCCAGCACAGCCAGGCAGAGCCACCAGGAACTTGGAAGACCCCCATTCTCCCTATTGTCCAGGGAGAAATTTGGCTTCGCTTTGCCTGAGGACACCCAGGTGTCAGGTGGACCACAGCCCATACCCCACACACCCAAAGAACAGCCAAAGCAGACTGAGAACAGGTTTCAGGGTAGCCAGAGACAAGCAGGCGTGTCTCCGAGGGATACTCATTCAGGGGTCCTTCAATAGAAGCTTCTCAAAGAATCACAATGGGCATTGGCCCTTTTATACCTCTGAAACGACAGGGCCCCTCCACTCCTAACCCCAAGCTCCCAAAGCCTGGCCTGGTCTTCCCAAGTACTGCCCCTGCCCAGAGGCCAGACCTTGCCAGTGCCCAGCATGCTATTGAAGGGAAGGCAGGAAAGAAACACCCTAGACCATCCACCTTCCAGCTACCTCCCCATCTCCACATCATGACACCAAGAACCTCACAGGGAGACTGGTAGCTTCTTGGATAAACTGTTTGGAGCTGGTGTCCTTCAACACTAGGAGGAGGGTCTCCTAAGAGGGCCCTATAGAACAACGGAGGGGACTGAGCCAGGGTCTTAGCCCCCAGTCCCCGAGGGGTAGGAGGGGATCTGATGTGAGTAGCTTCTCTCCTTCCTCGGGGCCAGGGCCACCCTAGGAGGGACCCCTCTGCTCTGGGCCTGGGCCAAAAGTCTGGACACCCTGTTCCTGGTCAGCAGAGGAGGAAACTCAAAGGCCTGGAGGCAGTGCTGCATGGGACAGGGACCAGGGACTCCGCAAGAAGCAGAGGAGTGGTGTTTACAAGAGAACCAGCATCAAGGACTAGCAGGAGGGAACTCCTTTCGCAGACAGAGAACTCAGGCCTACAGAGGCCACGCCACGTGCCCCACACCACCCTGCAGACGGTAGCAGTCTCGCCCAGGATAGGGCTCCGGCTGTCCCACCTGGCGGTCTCCCACACTCACAGACGGGGGCAAAACAGGAAGAGAGCAGAGCAGCTGTGCTGGCACAGAGGATCAGTCCCTTCCCTGTGCCAAGTGCTGCCCCCAACAACCAGGCCAGCCTGGGAGGGAGATGGATTCCCTGGACAGTGGGCAGAGCCCAGGAGAGAGAGGCCAACCCCAGCACCTGGCACCCAGGGAGCTCACCAACCCTCCACCAATAACCATGAGGCAGGGGCCTCCACCCGAGCTGGCCAAACTCTGGGCTCTCAATCAAGGGCCGCTGCCCGCATGCTTGGCCTGTCTCAGCTGAGGTGCCATGCTGCCATGAGAACGCAGTCCACGTCTGCAGGAAACCCACACGCCACACACCCCACGTACACACACGTCCAGCTTCCCGTGTGTACACTCCAAGGGAAGAAGAAAAGCAGACACAGAGTGAGCCCCGCTGGTCGGGGAGAGGTGCGCACACAAACACGCCCCCCCCCCGCCCCTCCATTTTCCGTCAACACAAATTCAGAGACCACACATAGTAGCCAGGAAAGCCACAGGTTAGTAAAGGAACATAAATATACCCGCATCCTATATTACATAAATACCCACGCCGGGTTATATAAATACCCGTGCCCTCTGTCTGGGTGTCTTACATAAATACACTGCACATGACCCCCCAGTCTCTCCCCACTCACCGGCTGTCTGCAGAGAAGAGAAGTGAGGGGAGCAAGCCCTTCAGGACCCCCTGACTGCTCTGTGCCAGCCACCCAAACCCCCAGTCCCTCCCCAACATCCCAGGGGCCCAAGGTCCCTGGGGGAGCCTCCACTGTCCCAGCACCAACCCCCAAAAAGCCTCCCAGAGGAGAGCAGAAAGGCTTCATTTAGGAATGGGAGCGGCTTTCCAGTTCTTTTGCTGCTTCTCCCATGGGGGAGGGGAGAGATAAACAAAGTGGGGGGGGAAAGTGGGTATGAAGGTTCAGGAGTTTCAGCCGGTTAAAAAAATTAGACAAACTACCAACCAGCAAGGCACACGGGCAGTGCTTCCTACTCCCCGACCACCGCCACCTACCCCTGAGCCCCGGCCCTTGTCCCTGGGCGATTAAAATAAAAATTGAAGGGACATCGGAGAAACGAAGGCAAAAGAAACCCAGACACAGGCACTGCGTGAAGCAACTTGAGACACTGCGTCCCCTTCGCCTCTCCCCAAATCCTTCTCTAGGAAGGAGGCTATGCCAAGAAGAAAATACGTAAGAAAACTAAGGGAAAAGCTGGGGAGGGGGCTTACCCCACTTCTAGTTTGTGTATGAAGGAGAGCTTGGGAATCTTCTCTCTAACGATCCCCAGCCAGTTTTATGTTCCTTAGAGACTTGCAAAACACGAATCTCTCACACACAAAAACGGGAGAATCCGATCCGATACATAACCCCCACCCCTTTCTTTCTCTCCACAAAGGAAAACAAAATCGGTGGCCGGGTGACCACACACCTCTTCACCTTAGGACCCCCCCAAACGCCCGCCACCCAACTTGCGGTTGCAGCCTTGCTGACCCCCAGGTCCGGGCGCCGGGGCCGGGCGAGCAGGGGGCGCCGCTGATTGTCCGAGGAAGCCTACGCGAGCCCGAATCAACAGTATCTGGCACCCAGCACCCCCGGCCCCATCCTTCCGCGTCCCCAAATCACAGCCGGGGTGGCCGCCTGGCCGGCCGGGGCCTCAGAGGGTTCAGCGTGAGGGAGGCGGAGGCGGGCCGGCCGGGGGGGCTCCCCCGCGAGCCCGCAAGATAACAGGCCCCCTCCTCCCCGTCCCCAGCCGCGCCTTTGTCCTCGCCAGGCCGAGCGAGCGGGCGGCGCCCGGGCTGCTCCCCCACCACCCCAGCGCGAACGCGCGTGTCCCCTCCCTCCCCTCTCTTCCTCTCCAGCAAAAACAAAGAGGCTGAGGGAGCCCCGATTCCCCCCGGGTTTGCGCCCCTCCGCGTGCCCGCGACCCCCCAATATTTACCCCGCCGGGAAGGCGCCGGTGCCGGGCCGCTGCTCGGGGGGCTGCCGCGGGCGGGGGCGGCCCGCCGGGGCGGATGCCGGAGGATTCGCGGAGCCGCCCGGCGCGCCAGCCTCTCCCGGCCCAGCCGCCGCCGCCGCCGCGCTCCGCTCGGCCCCAGCCGGGCTCTGGCTCTGGGCTCTCGCCGCCGCCGCCGCCGCCTCCCTCGTCCCGGCCTGCTGTCCGTCCGCCCGCCCCCGCCGCCGACTTGCGCGCTCTCGCCCCGCGCGCGCCCGCCGGCTCCCATTGAGCCCCGGGCCCGCCCGCTGATGTCATCCCCGGCCCGCCGCCGCCGCCCCGGAGGATTTAAAGAGCCCGCGCCCAGCCCGCTGGGGGTCGCAGCCGCGAAACGCAGTCCCCCAGCTCCTGTGCAGGCGCGCGGGCTTTCGCGTGGGAGTGGGGGCGCGCACGGGCACTGACACCCTGATGCAGTCCAGGGCGCAGGTGGAAAAGACTGGGTGGGGGGACAGAGAGGAAGAGGAGGGTGCACAAAAAAAAGCGGGGATGAGAGGAGGGGAGGGGAGGGAGAGCGTCTAGACCCAAAGCCTCCCGGCCTGCCGGGTTCTCTCTCCTCTCCGGGCAAAGCAGTGGGCAGACAGGCGGATATTCACGACACTGCACAAGTTGTTAGACAGCTGGGGGCTCAGTCCGCCTCCAGGTTCCGAGTGCCGCAGAGAACACAGGCCAGGTTGATTCAAGGCGAGAGATCTGAGGAGCAGCTCGGGAGGTCCACACAGGCCCAGGCATTCTCCCATGGAAAACATCAAGGGCGAAGACCTTTTCTCCTCCTCCTCCCAAACTGGGATTGGCACAGAGGGGACCCTCAGACCCTAACCTCATTCTCCCCTGTTGAAGGAGGGGTGCCACACTAGCACAGCACCGGCACTTGAGTCAGGGTTCCGAGTGGTGCACGGTTGGCCAAGTCACCTCCCAGCTCTAAGGTTGGGTTTCCTAAAACAGCAAAAGGGAGGAAGGACCCTGTCGTCCCCAGGTCATAGGGAGAATTAATGAACGCTTCTGCCGGCTTCCAGAGCAGCCGATGAAAGGCTGCAAGACAAAGCCATTAAAGCAATGATATTTACACTGTGCCATGCAAAGCTCTCAATTATGACACACCGATATTCACACGGTTGTGACTGTGGACGCGCAAAACGCCTGAGCCCTTGCGTCCAATCCCGGAAGCACAGTTCCTGGGAGGAGTCACTTCCATAATAACCATATCTTCCCTCAAGCCTGAGGGACTGAGTCACACGCTTGCCCAAACGGGCAGGAGCCTCACAGACTAGGTCCTTTCACCTGCCAGGAAGCTGGCCCAGAGAGGGGAAAGGGTTTGCCCAGGACCACACAGCCCAACAGGGCTGTTCTCCCAGTACTGCCTTAGCCTACTGAGTAGCTGGGACTATAGGCGTTCACCACCATATCAGGCTAATTTTGTTGGTTGTTTTGTAGAGACAGGGTTTCTATGTTGCCCTGATGGGGTCACTATGTGGTCTGGGCTGGTCTCAAACTCCTGACCTCAAGCAATCCTCCCCAGCTGGCCCCCCTCCACTGTTTTCAGCTGGAAAGACTGAGGCCCAACAAGGGAATGAGCCTTATTCAAGGTCACGGGGAGCATGTGACAGCAGCCCCGATGGCTAAAAAGCTAGCTTCAAATAGTATTCTGTGGTCAGGCTCAGTGGCTCACGCCTATAATCCCAGCACTTTGTGAGGCCAAGGCAGGCAGACTAACTGAGTTTGAGACCAGCCTGGCCAACATGGTGAAACCCTGTCTCTACTCAAAATACAAAAAAAATTAGCCTGGCATGGTGGCGAGTGCCTGTCCCAGCTACTCTGGAGGCTGAGGCAGGAGAATTCCTTGAATCCAGGAGGCAGAGGTTGCAGTGAGCTGAGATTGCACCACTGCACTCCAGCCTGGGTGACACAATGAGACTCTGTCTCAAAAAAAAAAAAAAAGCTAAAACCACAAATAGCGTTCTGCTAGTTTTTAACAAATGTCACAGCAGGCATTTCCTGAAACTGGGAGTCTCACTTGTAAAGTGAGGATAATACAAATCAGAAAAACAATGTAGCCCAGAAGCAGCCCTGAGTAAGAGGAAGATGCTTATACTACCGTATTACTTCTCAGGAGGAGCAGCCCTGAGTAAGAGGAAGATGCTTATACTACCGTATTACTTCTCAGGAGGAGCAGAGTTCAATGCAGGGCTCCTGATTTGGGCTCCTCCAAGCTCCTGAGCACTGCTGGCTATATCCCCCACCTCTCCTTTCCTTTCTTCACCCTTCCTCCGGAGAGGCCACCGCCAACCCCTTGTAAGGTGGGAGTGAGTGGGAGATATGCAAACCTGGTTGGACCCCGGGGAGCCGCTAGACTCGCCCGTCTTGGTCTTAGCCCTCCTTAGCCCTCGAAGGCCCCGATGGGAAGCTTCTCAGGGTCCTCCCTTCACCGCCCTGCTCATGGAGGGTCCGGGGCCCACAGGCTTCAGAGGTCTCCTGGCCCCCAGCCCTGCCAGCCTGAAGATGCTGTCCTGGGGCATTCTCCTCTCCTCACCCAGCCAGGCCTCGGCTCTTTGTCCCCACACCCTTTCATGACGTTCTGCCCACCCCTGACTGCTCCCAGGGCACAGCTTTGGCCCCGGGCTCTCTTTTCAGGCACTTCTCCCAGGGAACCTCACCACTGGGGCATCCCTGGTCAGGTCACTCCTGGCAGGGCTTCCTCCCTCCTCTTCCCTCTTCAGTGGAGAGGCAGCAGGATGGGGTATCTAGGTCTGGGTTGGGTCCCAGGTCAGTCTGAGTTTTAGTGACTTTGGGGAAGGAATCCACAGCCCTTCTCCGGAGGTGGGGGGGGGATGCGGCGCTGGATAAAGAGAGTTCTAAAGCTCTTAGTGTCCCCAGCTGAAGCTAAGGGCAAGACTGGAGGGGCGTGGCCTCTACACTCCACATCCAGGGCACTAGGCTGACAAAGACCCTGAGGCCACAAATCTGGGCTCAGTGGGAAACAGCTCCCCCTCAACCCCTCACCCCAGAGTCAACACCTGAGCAGCTCATCTGAGCTCCACCTCCCAACTGGATTCTGAACCCAGCCACTCCCACCGCACGTGCCTTCCACTCAGACCCTGCAGTGGCCTGTTAACCACTGAGATGTGACCTCAGCCACTGAAAATACACCGGAGGTTGGCCAGGCACAGTGGCTCACGCCTGTAATTCCGGCACTTTGAGAGGCCGAGGCAGCGGATCACGAGGTTAGTAGTTGGAAACCAGCCTGGCCAACATGGTGAAATCCTGTCTCTACTAAAAATACAAAAATTAGCTGGGTGTGGTGGCGCACCTGTAATCCCAGATATTTGGGAGGCTGAGTCAGGAGAATCACTGGGACCTGGGAGGCAGAGGTTGCAGTGAGCCGAGATCGTGCCACTGCACTCCAGCATAGGTGACAACGTGAGACTCCGTCTCAAAAAAAAAAAAGGAAAAAGAAAGAAAGAAAGAAAATACACCAGTAGCTTCTTCTTCCCTTAGGATGAAATCCACATTCTTCCCCAGGGTCTGCTATGATCCAGCCCCTGCCTACATCAGACCCCATTTCAAACCTCACTCTCCCTCCCTGTCTGCCTGGCATCTCACCATGCCTCAGGGCCTCTGCCTGTTGTTCCTCCGCCTAGAATGATCTTCCCCAATCCTCCGTGACTGCCTCTTACTCAAGGCTCAGATCACAACTCAAAAGCCTCTGCACAGAAGCCCTCCTGGATCAGCCTTCAGTGGGCTCCCTTCCTGTACTGGGGATGCCCTGCTTTATCTTCTTCATGGCATTTAGGACTGGTTGAAACAACGTTACCTTGTTTTTGAGATGGAGTCTTGCTCTATCACCAGCTGGAGTGCAATGGCGCGATCTTGGCTCACTGCAACCTCCACCTCCCAGGTTCAAGCGATTCTCCTGCCTCAGCCTCCCCAGTAGCTGGGACTACAGGCACGCGCCACCATGCCCAGCTAATTTTTGTATTTTTAGTAAGATGGGGTTTCACCACGTTGGCCAGGATCGTCTTATCACTTGACCTTGTGATCTACCCGCCTCAGCCTCCCAAAGTGCTGGGATGATAGGCGTGAGCCACGGTTCCTGGCCCCAACTTGTTCATTTTTAATGCTCTGAGGTCTCTCTAAGACAAAGAAATCTCTCACAGGTGCTCCTGTGGTACCCAACAGGTCATGGGTGCCCCATAAATACTTGTGCAATGGTGATGTTGTGTGTGGTCTCGGGGGTGGAGGCAGGGCCTAACACTTTCCATCCTGAGCCAGACGGTCCTAAACAGCCCTGCTCAGGGCCATCTTGCCCCACCTACTCCTTCTCACAGCAGCTACCTGTCCTCCTGCTCCGCTGAGGCCATCTGTCCTCCTGCTCCACTCAGCATTCACTGGGTTACTGAGGAGCCAGGAGTGCTTGTCACATGTCCCCAGGAGCAGGGAGCACTATGCAACTCCTCGGCACCCCCAAAGGACCACCCGTGCCCTGCCTCTAGCTCACCCCTGCCTGCTTCCTTCCTTCGGCTTGGCCTGTCACCCCCCCGCCCTGTGGGCTCATCTGACCCCTTTGCTCAGCACAACATCCCTTGTTTCTGCTGCAGTCAACCAGCGCCCAACCCTGCTCTTTCCACCCTCTGAGAAGCCAGAGCTTCCTGTTCCCAGGTCACACAACCACACATTAGCTGGGCTCCAGGAATGAGGATGATTGCTGCGACTCATCATCCCGATGCCCGCAGCAGCGCTCCTCGCTCGGCAGAGTTGGTGCGACTCATCATCCTGCCACATCACACGTTCACCCACAAGCATTTCCCG